CAAAAAGAAAACATTGTTAAACGACAGGGCTGGCTAACATGTGTCGTACTGGATGATTATAAGTGGTGCAAGTCAGGTAGTATGTGCAAAAATTTACAGACCAGCAAAATGAAAACAGACCCAAAAGTCTCATTGCTTTTAACACTTTGTCAGATACTCTTTTCATACTTCATAATTTTATCAAGTGAAGATGCTAATTATACATATAAAATACTGCTATAAGTAATAGAAGGGAGAGAAGGACAAAAGTAACCCACAGAGGGGAAAAAATTGCCCACCCCAGTTACATAACATACTTCTCTGAATTGCCTGGAACGTCCTATCAACAAGAGCTTCGAAGTGGAGCGCAATAGCAGGCGAGAGTGGGGAGCTCAGAGCAATCAGCAACAGGAGATAACTTCCCCAATCATCCATTTCCTCTGTCTTCTCTGTTTCTTCATCTCCTAAGTCTATTACAACCTGTTTTTAATCACATTCATTAAAAGGACAGAAGTAATGGATGAAAAAGAAGAAAAAAAATCTTTATAAGCAGGCCTATATTCTTACAAATTCAAACTTTTTCTTAACCCTCTGTATTGAATCATGCCTTCTTCATAGAAGCTTCATGCCATAACAATCTACCCTTTTTATAATGGCCTAAAAGAGGGAAATCTTATGATTTAAGAGGCTGTTAAGCCATGAAAACCCAAGTGATCCATAATCCACTGTTCCCTCCCATGACTCTTACCCTAATTTGAAGCAATGTATTCTCTATATAACTTTGAATTTTAGGGATTCACTAAAATCTAGTGGATGTATTGCAAAGTAAATCTAGAGAAAGAAGAGGAAGGAGGAGGAGGAGGAAGAAAGAAAAAAAGGAAGATGAAGAAGAGGAACAAGAACAAGAACAAGAAAAGAAAGGGAACAGTAAGACATGAGGCAGTGAAAGAAAATACAGGAGTATCAGTCCTTCATCTGCTTACCTTAACAAAGTCCACATCATCCCTAAGGTGGGACAAGAGGGGCTCAACCCCAATGGCCACCTGCCTCTCCATGTCGGTCTTTATCCCATCGGGAAACTTTTGTAGAATGAGATTCTCAGGAAAGAACCTGTTTCAAAATGGCAGTTAATTATTTCCTTAATGCTACAGATATTATTGCTAAAGAAAGTAAAAAAATTAGACATACAATAAAACTACTTAATGCAATGTGAATCCATTAATTATTTTGTGAAAGAAATATATATGTATACATATATAGTACATTACAATACACTTATAAAACTACAAAAAATCACACAATTATACCTAAACAACAATACCAGGAGCTTTCCCAGTTCTCGATGAGCTGTGTGTAGGTATCCCTTGAATTTCTCGCACAGTGAAATGACAATCTTCATGCAAAAACTTGTCATCTTAATTATACGATGAGTAATCTTAAGGTCCTGGTCGTTCTGTCAAGTTAAAGTGTTTTAGTTGATTACGAGACAGAGTTTGTCCTGAATAATTAGCTGAATCAGAACATTAAAAATTACTCTGGAAATGTAAAATATATCTTATTCTCTGCAACTAAGAGGCAAGATTTAAAAAGGGTATGAAATACTAGGAAGGGCACAAATATGTTTGAAATCTTTTCATTTATCAAGAAAGTGTTTTTATACAAGAAAGTATTTTATGCAATATTATTTTTGTACATTCCTTTCTTCTTAATAAAAATAATACAGCTACTAGAACAAACACAACAAACCTAGACACAGTCTCGCAATCCAAACTCACCATTTTTTTATTCTGGACTGAAAACCCTGTCACCATGAGCAGACCATCTGAAATCTCCTTTATCAGAGAAGCAATTGGCAGGGAGATGTCCAGTTCTGTTATGAGATGTGCATGATACTGCTGGATGAAGGAGACATATGCTCGCCACACCACCACACAGGCACGGACTTCTGACAACTGCGACATGCATGATGCTGTCATTGGTAGCTGTTCACAGACTGGAAGAAAGTGCAAGTGTTTAGATGTATCATCAAATGATCGAAATTGGAAGATGACTGAGCACAATGTAATCACATTCAAATAATTATTCAAGTTAGGCAGAAAGAAGGGCACCAAAATTTTAGATTGTATTACTCTACAGAAATTTTTCCTTCAGAGGGAAAATGAAGAGATGAAGGAAGAAAAAGAGGAGAAGGATGGGAAAGTAAAAGAGGAAGATGGGGAAGAGAAAGAGGAAGAAGAAGAAGAAGAAGTAGAGGAGGAGTCAGAAGCTGAAAAAATGGAGGAAAAGGTGGAGGAAAAGGATGTGGAGATGAAGGAAAGACAAAGCATCTAAAAAGAGTTGAAAAACTAAAACTTCCCCAGGGCATAACTTACCATCAATCAATATATTTATATCATCATAAGTATCAAACACAAGTTTGGGCAATAATCCTGAGAAGTGAGTTGAGAGGTCGACAGTCTGCCTAAAGAGGAGATTCAGGGGCTCACTCACTCGCTCCTGCTGGTCCCCATAGATGGTCCCACTGAGAGAGGAAATAATAAAGATCACAATGAGATACAAACAATGTAGGTAGTACAAAAAATACTACTACTAATAATGATGATACTAATAATATTCATAATAATGACAACAATCATTAAAACATCAATAGTGAACATTTCTATCTACACAGGTCTCTCTACATATATCTGTTCCTCCTGTATTTGAACGTGCATGCATTGAAGCAAACTTCAAAACATGAGACTTTACACCAACCTATCTTTGCAGTGCTTCAGAGAGCCATTGATCACATGCAACACAACTTTAGGAAGGTTGTTCACATTTTTCACAACAACATTCTCTGCTTGCATCAGGAACTGCACCATCAGTTCGCAACTCTCTGTGATCAGGATACATTGCTGAGAAGGAAGGAAAAAAGAAAATAAAAATAATATAAGAATAAAAGGTAAGGTTAGTAGTCTAAATGTTTAAAGACACCTGAAATGGGTTTCAAAAGCTTTTCAATTGTAATTTTCTTGGCTGCATTCCATCAAAATCTGCTTGAATTTTGATATTATGGAAGACTTTCAATCCTAAGCCCAACCTTGGGCCCCATGCAAAGCCAGCAACATGTGCACTAACGTCTTCTAAACATTTATCAAAGCAAAGTTTGATTATATGTTGCCATCTAATTTCTCCCTGAATCAAGTAATAGCTTGAGGCATCCAATAATCATAGGGGACAGTCCACTTTAAGTATTATCATAAAGAAAAAAAGACTTCTATCACTGGCATTTAATTTACTTCCAAGTCACTCATTAATTTAATTGAGAGAGAGAATAAATGAATCAAATATACCTGAAGGAGTCTGCTGGGCACATCTTCGCTAACCTTTGCCTCCTGCTCGCACTCCTGCACAAAGGCGTCAAAGAAAGACCTGAGGGCTGGCAGAGTGGCGTCGAGGAGGGAGAAGGACTCCTCGACCTGGAGGTGCGGGAGGAAGGAGCCTAGGACGAACCTGGCCACCTGCACCCCTTCCTCGGCTGGTGGGCTCTTTTGCAGGAAGTCGTGGGGGAGTTAAGGCTTTTCCCTGGGATGGTTACAAAGGATGGAATGGAGAGAATGGGGGTATGTAGAGGAGGAGGAACAGAAATGGATAAAAAGTTGGGGAAGAAGTTGGTTCAGAGATGGAAAGAAAGGAGATGAGAGGCAGATAGAAAGAGAAATAACAATTAGATGAGAGCAAAAGAAGAAGCATAGATAATTTGAGGGGAGGAGAGAGAGAGAGAGAGAGAGAGAGAGAGAGAGAGAGAGAGAGAGAGAGAGAGAGAGAGAGAGAGAGAGAGAGAGAGAGAGAGAGAGAGAGAGAGAAAAAAAAAACATGGCACACTGTGCTAGCACCTCCCCTGATTAAAACAACAGACAAAAAACCAGAAACCCCTGCACTTAGCACGCAAAAAAAAAGGATATTATAACAACAGGCAAAGTTCCGTGAAGCTTTTCTGCCGTCTGTTCCTCAGTCCAGTGCGCTGCGTCAGCTAATATGCTCATCAGGTTCTCCTCGTCCAAAGGGGACTTCTGAGACCCCATTGTGTCTGAAAAGAGGCCATGGACTTGAAGATTTTGGAAAAAAATGTACAATATTAGAGTTTCATTTTCATTCAAATAGTTTCGAAGTGATGGTGAGATATGGGGTGCATGTATTTAGCATAATATTCGGGAGATAAGCGATTACCTTGTTGTGTGTGATGGTGGTGAATTGAAGGAGGAATGAACCTGATTAACTTCACTCTGCAACTTAAAAAAAAGGCAAAAATAAGTAAAAATCATGAATTTTAACTTCCGTAAAATTTCATACTCGACTAAACGAACTTATTTCCATACTTTATGCACATTACATGAGACGACATTTAATTAAATCTCTATAAAACTACCAAACGCATCATAATAATGAATAATTACGGTATTAAAGAAGTTTTTAGAGGCAAAAAGAAGAGAAAATAACTTAATTCACCGGAGTTCACTTAAATACTTCGCTTTAGGAAGTTCCCGCGGTGTGTAAACAAAAGTCAAATGAGAAATAAAAGTTGTTAAAATATATTTGTTGTATAATTATAATTATGTTGTATAATTGTAGTGGTTGTTTATAATCAGGATATTGTATAGATATATTTTTGAACGTTTTAAGTAGAGAAATAAAGTCTAGTAATTTAGATGCCCGTTTGACTTCAGCGATGTAAAATGTCAGTATTCTACTATTATTTTTTCATTGACGCTATATTAAGCAAGTTTTTCGTGAAGAAAAGAGAAAAAAATATTTTACATAATTTATTTTTTCAAGTTGAGCATAATGATTGTTATAAACATTTTGCAAAATTATGGAGATATAACGAACACATTTTATTTGAGGAAGATATTTTGCTGGAATCATTGAAACGAAGATAATAAAAGACAAAGTAAAATTTTCCCTCATCGAACTTGAATATATCATCAAACAGATTTTTGCGGGAGAAACTTATTATGATAATATCAAGTAGACTCGTTACCCCTTAGAAGTAAACAACAACAGGACGACACAATTTACCTCTTTCTCTTAATTCTTCCTTGAAAAAGGTACTTCCAGAGCGCAGGTAATTGAGGAAATGACATTTACTAACTCACCAAGGATTATTGTAATTAGATTCGTAAGCAGTATTACAGAAAACGTTGGTTAGGCTGGTTTTAATGAGGTAATTTACGGGCCTCTAAACTGGACTGTCTCAGGTTTCACAATCTCCTTGTTTTCGTAACAAATGTTTTAAAAATATGGTTATGAAGTTTGGCTTTTATAGCGGATCAACATGTGTCTGATCTCTGTTAAATTTGGGTTATTTTTTTTAGTTTCATATAGTTATCTTACGTTGCAACTCTTCGGAATCCCTTGCAAGGCCGATCACGTTGATTTTGGGATCGATGGACACTCGCTCTCTGCTGTCCAAGTATATTGAAATTATGCTGCGGAAACCTCCCTTTGTGACAAATCTTGGTCCTTTGTGACAATCTTTGTTCCCGATAGCAGGGGAGGACGTGCAAGGCGCCAGGGAAATTACGTGGTAAAATATGGGTGTTATTGGAAGTGATGCCTAAAGTGAAGAATCTGACCTTGCCATGCGATGGAAAGTAACATGCTTAGACACCTTTTTCTGTAATGTTTTTTTTGCAAACTATTAACCCCTTTCTGCCGGGTAAAGAAAATAAATAAAAAGCTACACTCTGGAGATTAATGGCAGCGAGCTGACTTTCAGCATGGGATTTCACTACATCAAGCCAAACACTACATCAAGCCAGCTCTTAGTGCTTTGGTGTGTCTCCGCAGCATACAGCTGCTCGAGCAGTTTGTTATGTTGCCGTATGGTGTAGCCCGGCAAGTAAATAACTTGAGTGAGGGAAATCAAGTGATTCAATGGGAATTCTACTTGTAGACACTAGTGACAAGTCTATTAGAGCCAAAAAGATTGGTGATAGATAATCACATAACAATTGAAGCTCGACCCAAGGAGAAGTCAGTTGAAAATCAAATCCTTTCCATCATGCTAGGCTGTATGTAAAGTGCTGTTTTGCCTATAACCCATATCTGCTGGGCCACACTTATAGATGTCATAACAAACCAGCTCATCATGCTCAATGTGCAAAAGATAAGGGCAATAACGAAAAAGAATGGCAGATAGTGGTCACAATTCCTGCCAACAGGCTGGCCATTGCAACTTTATTGTGAAAGGAATCCATTGATACCAATATTGTCATGATCAGTCTAGCAAATGTATTCTGAATAATTACCCATTACAATTATTGTTCCTTGCCTCAATTATTCAGTGAAATGTGGGCGAATTTGGTGATGTTTTCCATTGCAAATGACAAGAGAAAGTATTGGTATCTGAAATGACCTCACTCCTCTGAGTTCCTATTGCTCCAACCACTCCTAGAGGTCCACAAACTAATGAAAAACCTTCCTAACCTAGGGCTTTGTCCCTAGTTTCCCACCCTATTGCTGTATTTCCTTATCAGGGGTTTGATAAGGAAATTGCCGTGGACATGATCAGTTCAAGGCGTTTGTTGCAACCCATTTTCATCATTTCCTTGCTTGTGCAGATTATTTCATGTATCAGTGAGTGTAGCTTTTCCTTTCTATGAGCTAGTGTCAATAGATTTTCATGTAAATGTTTACCAAAGCATGACTTTTCTTATTTTCTGTCATTCATTCCATTACAGGCAAAGTTTACCTTATACCACATGGCTGTATGAAACTGAAACTATACAAAATTTGGGTCTATAGGTGTCATATTCCTTTCTCATGCTCATTTTACAAGATTTGTAAGTTAAATTATTATTATTATTTCTATTTGATATTATTTTTTTCAATTCTCCATTCTCAAACAAAATCATAATGGTAGCTAATAAGATGTAAGTACTAATCTCTTTGTAAAAGTCATTTGTTGTGCAATTTTTTTCAACTATTTTCCATATTGGATTTTTTTTTTGTTATAAACTTTCTGAAGGCAGCCATGCATTGTCATTAGCTTTTCACTGATAAGTATTCCATTAAATGCACTAAAACTCCATTATGAGTATTCTGGTGGTAATTGTTGTCTGATGTGTAACACCAGTCACTTTCATGTTTATTCCAAATTCAGAGTATTCAATCAGAAGATATTGTTCTAACTTTACATAAAGGCTTCATTAGGATAGGGAAAACCTAAGGAAACTGTCATAAAGAGAGGGAAAAATACACTCATTGAAATATGGAATAATCCCTACAGGCAAAAAATAATGTCAAATGTAAAGGAAATAGTTTATACCATAAGCTGAACAGAGACTAGGCCAAAGTACATGGTGCTCGGGTGGCGGGTTGCCCCTGGGATTAGGAATGATTTTGGTTCATACAGTCCTGCTTGTGGATTCCCAGGAGTGCACCCAAGGTTGTTGGATGAAGGAAGAGGGACCTAGTCTCAGAAGGATGCAGCCATTTTGTAAACATTTACTCTAAAGCTTTTTCAAGGAGTGTAGGAATATTATCACAAAATAAGAAGCAAAGGATACTTCTAATGTAACAAGGCCATGATTCCTGGTGAAGGATATCAGGACAGGCAAGAGTTTGCATTTGTTTGTTCTTGCCTCACAAGTCCATTATTAAGTGGACTGTTACCCAAAAATGCATGTTTGGCCATTTGAGAAGAATCAATCCCCCTAGCTTTTGATTACAATTTTTTGAGGGGCATTTTTGCCATGTTACTTATACCCACATAATTATAATATTAGGTGTTAAAAAAGGATTGTGTGTGATGGTGTGTTTCATCAGTTGACCTACATAAAAATGCTGTGTAACACCAGTCACTTTCATGTTTATTCCAAATTCAGAGTATTCAATCAGAAGATATTGTTCTAACTTTACATAAAGGCTTCATTAGGATAGGGAAAACCTAAGGAAACTGTCATAAAGAGAGGGAAAAATACACTCATTGAAATATGGAATAATCCCTATAGGCAAAAAATAATGTCAAATGTAAAGGAAATAGTTTATACCATAAGCTGTACAGAGACTAGGCCAAAGTACATGGTGCTCGGGTGGCGGGTTGCCCCTGGGATTAGGAATGATTTTGGTTCATACAGCCCTGCTTGTGGATTCCCAGGAGTGCACCAAAGGTTGTTGGATGAAGGAAGAGGGACTTAGTCTCAGAAGGATGCAGTCATTTTGTAAACTCTAAAGCTTTTTCAAGGAGTGTAGGAATATTATCACAAAATAAGAAGCAAAGGATACTTCTAATGTAACAAGGCCATGATTCCTGGTGAAGGATATCAGGACAGGCAAGAGTTTGCATTTGTTTGTTCTTGCCTCACAAGTCCATTATTAAGTGGACTGTTACCCAAAAATGCATGTTTGGCCATTTGAGAAGAATCAATCCCCCTAGCTTTTGATTACAATTTTTTGTGGGGCATTTTTGCCATGTTACTTATACCCACATAATTATAATATTAGGTGTTAAAAAAGGATTGTGTGTGATGGTGGGTTTCATCAGTTGACCTACATAAAAATGCTGGGTATTTATTTTATTTATTTTTTTCATATCCAAATAGTTTTTTTTGTAAGATTATGAGCTAATTTGTTTTTTTCTTTCTTTCTTTTCTTTTCTTTTCTTTTCTTTTCAAGTGGTAAGTTTTATCCCAGAATGTTTATTAAATCACACCAGCCTGGTTGAGAGAGCGAGGCAGACATGCCAGTGTTGAGTTGCCAGTCACTGAGTTTCAAACCACATGTGTATATAATACCCAATGTGTATAGTAGATTTCTTTGCTCTTTCAGAATGTCTGTTGATATATTTTCATTTGATAATGCTAATACCATGAATGGAATAGGTAATGAATGATACAGATACTACTATGTGCATATATCTTGTATCCCTGATTTTATACAACTTGCATAAATCTATGTTGTAATTTTGAGCCATGAATACCCTAGCTGCTCTCTTCAGGAAGAGAGCAGCTAGGGTATGTCCTTGCCATGTTTTAAGATTGATTATTCCTTCTCTCATTTTTTATAGTTTTTTGAAAATCCTGAATTTTGGGTGATATGAACAGAGTTGAAATGGAAAAGGGTGGCATGGACAAGTTGTAGCCAGTTATTCTGAAGAGACCAAGCTGTTCCCAATCTTCATAACTTGAAAATTGTGCCTTTGGCTACGGACTTGAGAAAGCTAGGTTTAATAATTTTGAAAATGATATGGTCCAGTATTCAATAACGGAAGTGATCTGTGGCCATTGTATGGTTTAAGAATCAAAGGGTGATAAACAGGTTGCAACTCAAAGAAAAAAAAGAAATTAAATTAAAGGAATGTAGGGGAAATGGTCCTATTAATCAGCTGCATCCGGGTGCCTTACAGTGTGCACATGGACCAAAATCTGGATTATAGGCTTCCATAAGTTTTTGGCTTGTAGGCCCAGTCTGCATGAATACTCATGCACGGTATCAAGACTCTTTTCCTCCTCCTTTACAGTGTTATTAGATATTTCTCTGCTGGTGCATTTTGCCATTTCTGCTTACAATATGATGATAAAAGGTTTTCTTTGTATAGGCTCCATATTATCTCTCTAGGTAGTTTACACTCTGTGTAATAATAGTAACAATATGGAACTTTTTTTTTATTCAGTTTTTCATAACACACCCTACACCACTAGTAATGACTGGCAGGAATGGGTTCCTGCATGTAGATCCTTCCTGGAGACAGCTATACCCCGTTTTGACCAATCCCAGTTCTGACTACCTCACTTTGATCTTTGCCAGTGTGAGATACTCTGCCTCAGCCTATCCCAGGACAGAATACCCAGAGTGTGCTGGGCATCAAATGTTCTCAAATGCATTGTTAGTTTTAATATTTTAACCCAATGACGCCGGGTGTACAAAAGGAAAATAAAACTCTACGCTCTGGCAAACAAAGGCAGCGCGCCGACTTTGAGCGCCGGAGTACGGGGCGTCAGCCCGAATCACATTATGGCGCGCCGCCGGCTGGTTTGGCCGTACGCCACCTTTCAAGCGATTTGTTTACACGCGTATCGCCGTCACCCGGCGGCAAGGGGTTAACAGACAACGAATCTTATCACATATAAGCATGTTTTGGTTATAGTCACCTCTTTTAAGTGAAGTGAGCCTTACATGGTCAGGAAGCCATAACCCCTTTTTTAAACAACCTATCATTTCTCCTCAGGATCTAAGCCGTCACCATGACTACAGCTGCACGCCCAACCTTCGAGCCCGCGAAGGGTGGCATGGGGCGTGGGGAGAGGGACCTGAGTGCTCTGTCGAAGCAATATTCAGCCAGAGATCTGCCGTCACACACGAGACTCAAGTACCGTGATCATGGCCAGTCCACCACTGATGAGCTCCGCAGCCGTGACTTCCGCCGTGAGTTGGAGGACCGCGAGCGTGCTGCCAGGGACAAGCGCACCAGCAGCAGCAGTGGGAGCAGCAGCAGCAGCAGCAGTAATCAGAGGGACTCAGGTGCTCCGTCATCCTCCTCCTCGTCTTCCTCCTCATCCTCCAAGAAACCCAGGCTTGACCAGATCGCACCTGCCAATCTGGATGCTGATGACCCCCAGGACGATGACGACGAGGCGTCCGACTCTGACGACTCTGACGATGAGGCTGTGCTATTTGCCGAGCTGGAGCGCATCAGACGAGAGCGCGCCGAGGAAGAGGCCAAGAAGCAACGGGAGCGCCAGGAGCAGGAGGAGCGCATCCGCATGGAAAACATCATCTCAGGAAATCCTCTGCTCAACCTTGCTGCGGCACCCAAGTCTGATATGAAAGTCAAGCGCAGGTGGGACGATGACGTCGTTTTCAAGAACTGCGCTGCCTCAGAGCCGGACAAAAGCGAAAAGACCTTCATTAATGACTCTTTACGTTCCGAATTCCACAAAAGATTTATGGAAAAGTATGTTAAGTAATCCCCCCTCCTACCTCTTTCTCTCCCCAAAAACAAAATGAAATGCTGTTTGTATGTGTAGAGTAGCTCAACTTTTTTCTTTACCTATTTCTTTTTACTTTTAAGAGTTTCGTACCACCTTACCTCTTTTGTCATTTTGTACTATTAAGGTGAATAAAAAAAAAATGTTTTTTATCTAGCTATTAAGAAATAGAAAGATTCTAACATTTGTTGAGGTAGTAAGAATATTAAGATGAATAAAATGTGAATTCAGTGCATGAAGATTATTCATTAGAATAAACTTTACTGATATGATAACTTTAGGACTTGTTTATTCATGAAGATTTGGCTCAGAAGAGTAATACAGGAAAGCTGAAGGGTAGATTATGAACCTCATTGTTGTATTTGGCTCAGAAGAGTAATACAGGAAAGCTGAAGGGTAGATTATAAACCTCATTGTTGTATTTGGCTCAGAAGAGTAATACAGGAAAGCTGAAGGGTAGATTATAAACCTCATTGTTGTCTTAGTGTGAAGAACTGATTAGGCAAATTCCAATGTACATTTCTATTGCACTATTGATGAATAATCAATAAAAAGTATCTACATTATCAGAAACAAAATGTACAAGAATACTTTCATTATATTTCAATAAAAATATGTATAATGGGATTATTTATATCTGCCACCTGGAACATATAGGTACCTAGATGTTACTTATGCCTTTTTTGCCATAGAGCATCTATGGGAAATATATGTAACATTGATAGAACGACAGGGTTATGTATTACATAAGGTGCCCTTTATTGGTAATAACTTGGATACATACTTCTGAAGCTGAGTAATGAAAATGAAAGAAAAGTGAGGGAGTAAAGGAAATTCACTCAATATGTAAATTATTGAAGTAGCTTAACAATGGCAAATTACTAATTATAATTTATAAAGTTTTAAGCTCTGCCTTAACAGTGGAAAAACTGTACATTTTTCATTAAGTTTTTCATTTAGAGTATATGAAGGAATTGGCCTCTCAACTACTTCCATTAGGATTGTAAGCAATTTCTAGGTATTGGGGCCACAGACGACACCTACCTTGGGCCTCAGCTTTGGCTTAACTGTTAACTTTTATATGATCTTTTCTCCCCCCCCCTTTCCATTTCTTTTTCTTCTCCAGTTACTTCTGTCCATTTCCTAAGGTGCAAGAGCCTTGCTGAAAGGCTGGCTTTGCATTGATCCAGAATGGCCCGGGGGAGCTTTGGGCACAGTATAACCATTATATTGGTTAATTTAGCCCTTACCCTTCATAAGGACCATGTAGGATAAACCATTTCTGTTCATTACATAATTCAGGGTCACTATGGCCTCACCCGTCCCTTAATACTTATACTGGAACTGAAAATGACCTCATTGACTACGATGCAATATTAGTAGAGTTGTACACATAAGTCCTATACCAATATTGGCTGGATTACCTTTCATAGACTTGACATCCCCATGAATTTTATATTGTCTGTCCATATCAACCCCTCAGTGTCAGTGTCAATGTTGCCCACCCTGCCGAGCACTTTCGCTCCACAGCCCATTAGTCTCTATGTGTTCAACTTGGTCATCACTTTCCAAATTGCTATGCACAACAACGCATGTCTGCTAATTGTGGTGTCTCCCATAATGTATTTTGTAGGAGCTTAGGTAGCAGGTGTTAGATTTTAACTTGGCCTCCCCCTATGCAAGGCCAAGATAGGAAGCATGTTGACAAGATTTTTCTATCACTCTTTTTTGATGCTGTCTTTTGTTCTGCTCCATCCCCTTCTTCCCAAGATGTCTATGCATCTCCCTCAGTATCTCTTCCCCCCCTACCCCTTACCACCCCACCTCTACCCTCTCTCTCTCTCCCAATCATATTCTTTTACCATTCTAAACCCAGACACTCCAGTTTCTTATCATTTCTCAGGTGCCTACCCCTCCTCCTCACTTTAGCTGTCGCACCAGGCAATCTAAACATTCCACCCCATCCTCTCCTACACCTGTCTTTCTTTACTCCTTGTTTCTCAGACCTCCCCCACCCAACTCCCCTCCAGAGGCTCATGAACACATCCAAACCTTCATAAATGCTCCTCTCCTTCACCCACCCTCCAATCTCTATTCCCAATCCCTCTTCATTCAGTATGACTACCAACATCCATACTCATGATCCTCATGCACCCCAACCCTCTTCCTCCCATGTTCCCCCTACCCCTCTTCCTCCCCTCCTCCATCTGCACCCCCCCCCCTTCTTTCCTCTTTTTCCCTTCTGCTCCCTCCTAAATGCTCACGTGACTCCCTTTTGTCCCAACAGTGTCCTTCCTTCTCTGACATACTTCCTGATATTTCACCTCCTTCACCTGGTCCCTTGTCCTTCTCCTCCTGCTTCTCAAGCACCCATGTCTTCCCTTAGTACCCACTGATTGCTTCTTAATAATTCCTCTTTCAGTCACACACTTTACCATAGCCTGTAGCTCTGCTTTTCCTCTCTTCCTCATGCCCCCCAAACTAGGATGCCTTCACAGAATCTGCCTTTTTCCTTTGCCAAATGGCTCTCCTTCCTCAGATGCTCTTTCCCATTCCCATTTTACTAATCCCTGTCCTATCCCATTTGCTCCTCCTCTATACCTTTTTCACTTCTATGCTATCCTATGATGCTAAAGATCTTTGACATGTAGCCTATTTTGTTTTAACCCATTGCCGCGGGGACAATGAACAAAAAATGGGGAGAATGCAATACTCATTTTTTATATTTTTGTGAAATATGTCTGTCCATAGATGGCTCTGCTAGTCCTGATTTCACCTTTCCTTGAATTGGCGGGAAAAAACGTATTCTTACTAGTGTTATTTTTAACAGCAAATTAGGATAACGTTAAATATTTTCGTAAATCGATGAAAAGGGTGAACGGGCGAGACATGCAGTACTCGTAATTGGCTCATTGGATACTTAGTGCAAGTGTAGCCATCTATGTGTAAAAACAATCGAACAAGTCGACTCACAGTGGGCATGGCATGTACGTACATGCCATCCCCAGCGGCAATGGGTTAATCATCAGCTCATTTCTACCCTTTTTGCCGCAGTATTTTGCCATAGTGTTATATAGCACATTTATTCATTCCATATATCTAATAGAACTTGTTTATTACCTTTATTATAGAATGAAAGGATTATTAAATTAAAAGCAAATACACATTTGCTTAGCATATTTATGTTTTTTTAATTTATTTATACATTTATTTTATATGATATATTTCTTCCTTCTTTGTGTCTTTTTCATATCTCCTTATCTATGAGTCTGTGTTTATGTATCTGTCTCTAAGTCCATAGAAACAATTTCACCAAATGACATGTAAACTAGCACAAGCAGAGGGATAAAGGAAACCATCTTTTTCATCATTACTTTAATAAATCACATTTCATATAGGAGTGTTTCTGAGATTTAATTCTCTTATAATGCCTTTTTTAAGTTATAATTCCTATGTTATATATGTATATAGATTTTTTTCTTCTTCAAACAAAATATACAGTATAGTCCTATTTAGTATAACAGATTTACAAATACCTTTTTTCAGCAAGTTATTAATAGTCTTGCATATTACATTTGCTTACAAAACTTCATATTTTATTCAGAAGAAAACTCAAATATCCAAGAATAAAGTGTGCAAACGCACACACATGGAGGTATGCATGCACTCTCCCTCCCTGTCTTTCTCTCTTTCTCTCCCTGTCTCTCTCTCTCTCTCTCTCTCTCTCTCTCTCTCTCTCACCCTATCTCTCTCTCTCTCTCTCTCTCTCTCTCTCTCTCTCTCTCTCTCTCTCTCTCTCTCTCTCTCTCTCTCTCTCTCTCTCTCTCACCCTATCTCTCTCTCTCTCTCTCTCTCACCCTATCTATCTATCTATCTCTCTCTCTCTCTCTCTCTCTCTCTCTCTCTCTCTCTCTCTCTCTCTCTCTCTCTCTCTCTCTCTCTCTCTCTCTCTCTCCCTATCTCTCTCTCTCTCTCTCACCCTATCTCTCTCTCTCTCTCTCACCCTATCTCTCTCTCTCTCTCTCACCCTATCTCTCTCTCTCTCTCTCACCCTATCTCTCTCTCTCTCTCTCACCCTATCTCTCTCTCTCTCTCTCACCCTATCTCTCTCTCTCTCTCTCACCCTATCTCTCTCTCTCTCTCTCACCCTATCTCTCTCTCTCTCTCTCACCCTATCTCTCTCTCTCTCTCTCACCCTATCTCTCTCTCTCTCTCACCCTATCTCTCTCTCTCTCTCTCACCCTATCTCTCTCTCTCTCTCTCACCCTATCTCTCTCTCTCTCTCTCACCCTATATCTCTCTCTCTCTCTTTCACCCTATATCTCTCTCACTCTCTCTCACCCTATATCCCTCTCTCTCTCTCTCTCACCCTATCTCTCTCTCTCTCTCTCACCCTATCTCTCTCTCTCTCTCTCACCCTATCTCTCTCTCTCTCTCTCACCCTATCTCTCTCTCTCTCTCTCACCCTATCTCTCTCTCTCTCTCTCACCCTATCTCTCTCTCTCTCTCTCACCCTATCTCTCTCTCTCTCACCCTATCTCTCTCTCTCTCTCACCCTATCTCTCTCTCTCTCTCACCCTATCTCTCTCTCTCTAACCCTCTCTCTCTCTCTCTCTCTCTCTCTCTCTCTCTCTCACCCTATCTCTCTCTCTCTCTCTCTCTCTCACCCTATCTCTCTCTCTCTCTCTCACCCTATCTCTCTCTCTCTCTCTCTCTCTCTCACCCTATCTCTCTCTCTCTCTCTCTCTCACCCTATCTCTCTCTCTCTCTCTCTCACCCTATCTCTCTCTCTCTCTCTCATTCACCCTATCTCTCTCTCTCTCTCTCTCTCACCCTATCTCTCTCTCTCTCTCTCTCTCTCTCTCTCTCTCTCTCTCTCTCTCTCTCTCTCTCTCTCTCTCTCTCTCTCTCTCTCTCTCTCTCTCACCCTATCTCTCTCTCTCTCTCACCCTATCTCTCTCTCTCTCTCTCTCTCTCTCTCTCTCTCTCTCTCACCCTATCTCTCTCTCTCTCTCTCTCCCTATCTCTCTCTCTCTCACCCTATCTCTCTCTCTCTCACCCTATCTCTCTCTCTCTCTCTCTCTCACCCTATCTCTCTCTCTCTCTCTCTCTCACCCTATCTATCTATCTATCTCTCTCTCTCTCTCTCTCTCTCTCTCTCTCTCTCTCTCTCTCTCTCTCTCTCTCTCTCTCTCTCTCTCTCTCTCTCTCTCTCTCTCACCCTATCTCTCTCTCTCTCTCTCCCCCCTGTCTCTCCCCCTGTCTCTGTCTGTATGTCTTTCTCTCTCTCTCTGTCTCTGTCTGTATGTCTCTCTCTCTCTGTCTCTGTCTCTCTCTCTCTCTCTGTCTCTCTCCCCCTCTCTCTCTCTCATATGAATATGCATAGGCTACACATGCACTCATGCGCTGCAGATGCACTGGCTACACATGCACGCACACACTTAACACACTCGGGCTACACACACACGCACACATGCTGCAGACGCATGGACTACATGTACACACATGCGCTGCCAACACAAAATAACACAACAACAATAAAACCGGATATTCTATGAAATTAAAAAAATCTTAAATGCAATATTGTAAATCATTTTACTACCATAAAGATGAAGATAAACTGATAAAATAATCTGAAGAAGAGATTTATCAGTAAACAAACTCTTTTGCTAACCGATGAATGTGGACAGATTATTTATTGAATGTTTTAAACTCGTAAGGGACCTTGCTCTTTTTTTTAAGTAATTGTTTGAGGACTGTCACTTTAGAGCAGGAGAATTAATAACTGGGGGAAAAAATAAAATAAAATAAAAACAAAATAACACTGTTATATGTGCGCATCAATACAAATGCATGTATGTAAAGGAAAAGAAAAGAGGAACTTTAATATACAGATAGTCCCCTATTTAAGAACATTCTACTTATGAACATTCCATACATACAAACAAAATTTTTTAAACACTAAAGTCCAAAAAATTGTTTGAAAGATGCTAGCAAACTTCAAATTTCCCGGGCGCGAATATAGTTCAAGAGTCTGGTACTGTATAAGGTATGTCGTACTTATTGGGATTTATTTACAGGTATTCTTAATGTAAACAAAACTTTAAAACAATGGGAAAATAGATAATGGAGACCCGACTTTCGACATACAAACAAATCAACTTACAAACAGCCGCTTGGTCCCCATTATGTTCTTAAGTTGGGGACTTCCTGTATATGTATATATATATAGAGAGAGAGAGAGAATAGAGAACAGACAAGGAAAAGGAAGAAAGAGGAGAGAGAAACAGCAAGAGAATTAATCTCTTTAAGTAAAAATGAGTATTTGATTCTAACTTAATGTCTAACTCAGTTGAAAACCAATTTCAAGGTGGATCCTGTGGTTTTCGACCCATAAAATCCAGCCCAGAACTGCAGGTCCTTCCCAAAGCTTGAGTAAGATATCCGAGAGAGTCCTGCTGGGTAGTCTGTTATTGTGGTCTCCATCTGTGAGGGAAATGGTCAAAAATTTTACATGGTCAATAACATACTGGAGTCTCTCTCTTCTG